GCTATCCAAAATATACGAAGCCAGTCAATACATGAAATCCAGCTGGCGCAAACACATTATCAACACAAAACAAGAAGGAAGACCATACCATAAAACAACTACAGTGATTACTTTGTGCTAATGCTTTTTGTTTCATATATGTTCTATTCACCAGTTTATGGAAATATTTTTTTTATTAGTTCTTGTTTTGCTAAATCATTTTAAATATCGCTATCCAAAATATATGAAGCCAGTCAATACATGAAATCCAGCTGGCTCAAACACATTATCAACATCTACCCACACACAAAAAAAAATTAAAAGTAAACTTTTTCTGTCTAAAACTTGTTTAACAGAACCTTGAAAGAACTCAGATACTGATCTTTTCACCAGTTAATTTAACTGAAGTATACAAAAATGAAAAAGAGTTCTTGGTTCTATTTATGAGAAGACTAAGTTATTAAATTCTACTTTTTCTTCAGTTTTTTTACCAATAAAGATTTAAGCAACATTCCTCATCCTGAAAAGTTGCTAGATGAAAACATGATCAACAACATAAACATATTAATTATGAGTCTGTTAGGAAACAAATGAAAAGTTTCAAGAATGATTAGGCTCCTGGATCAGATAATATTGCCCCAAAGGGTTAGGAGGTTAAAGATTTGATATGTGAGCCACTTGTTATTAGTTTTGTAATTTCTTGAATAGCAGACAGGTGCCAAAAGTTTGGAAGATGGCTAATGTTTCAGGTGAGGTGATAATTTTCCAGGTAATTATAAGTCTTAGATCAGTGGTGGGAAAAGTTTGTGAAAGTCTGATAAATAATAGATGCTTTGCAAACTCATTTATTAACAAAATTTACAAAGCTGTTAGATAGTTAACATGGTGTTACCAAGAGAAAATCTTGCCTTACTAATCTTTTAATAATTTTTGAAGAGGTTACTGCTTAAGTAGATGAAGATAAAGGTGTGGATGTGGTATATTTGGATCTTAAGAAAGTATTTAACAAGATGCCTTATAAAAGGTTGTTTAAATATTATTTATATGGATGCAAGTGATAAATTGGCTTGTTGAATTGAAAAATGGCTGAATGAAAGGAAGCAGGAGGTTATTATAAATGGAGTTCAATCAAACTGAATAAATGTCATAAGTGTGGTTCCTCAGGGCTCAGTGTTTAGACCTTTGCTGTTTTTGATTTATATCAATGACATAGATGAAGAAATGTCCAATATATTGCTACAATTTGCAAATGATATTAAAGTCTTGGATGTTTCTGGCTATGAGGATGATCCTACTGCCTTAAACAAGGATTTACATTACTTGAGAAGTTGGGCAAATAAATGGCAGGTGGCTTTTGATTGCAATAAATGCAAAGAAATGAATACGAGTATCATAATCTAAGTTATAAGTATAATCCTGATGGGAATAACTTTAACAGTATTAAGGAAGAAAATGATTATGGTGTTCTGATTGATTAAGCATACTGCTTGAATAATTTAAGACACTGATTAATCAGTCTTAAGTCATTCAAGCATTATTCTGTTCTTAGTGTTTGGGCAAGTGGGATTTTAGGTTGTATTTACAGAAATATTGAATTTGAAATGCAAGTCTAAATAGGTTATAACTTCATCTTATAGGTCACTGTTTAGACCTCATATGGAGTATTGTGTTCAGTCTTGACTACTTTATCTTAAAAAAAACCTTGTTAGAAAAGGTGCAAAAGAGGGCTACTATGATGATACCTGGGACGTAAAGTTTGTCATAAGAGGATACGTTAAAATCTTTGAATTGTTTACTCTTGAAAAAAAAAGGAACAGAGTGGATCTGAATCAGGTGTATTTGATTGTTAAGGAAATTCATAATGTCAATACATCATCTATTTTCATATTTAATGGTGAGAAAGATAGGGCAAGGAAGAGTTGCCAACTTTTATGAATCTGTTAGAATGAGACTTGAAAATGTGAAATTTTAGTGAGCAGTAAAGTGTTGTGAGTGCTGAAAGCATTTGCCTTCTATAGGGTGGTTCAGAGGCATGTCCCACCTTCATTAAAATTTTTCATTCAATGAAGTAAAATGGTATAACTTCCTAGATTAATGTGATACTGAATTTGACCTGGATCAAGCTGATCAAAGAACCTCAATGCATTGTAGAAATATGTTTTTACTAATGCATGAGAGCAGGAGAATAGGTCCAGATGTGTGAGTCTCACACTCAATGGATGAATGTTGGTATCACTGAGACAAAAGGAAACAAACAAATTTTGGCAGTGTAGGAGCCAACTTCAGTTAAAACAGCTTTATTTTTCAAACAGGGTGGTTGGCTTTTAGAATGGTTTGCTTTCAGATGTGGAAGATGCAATAAATTTAAGGAAAGGCTTGATAAATATTTAAATGATAAGGGATAGCTTTGAGTTTTTTTTCTTTAAAGTTTAGCTTAGTTTAGTGGATGAGACAGCCTTAAAGGACCAACAGGCTTCTTGTTATCGTTAAATGTTATCATAACTTTGAATTTGTAAGTAAGAAGTTATTGAAACCTCATTTTATAAATTCAGAAAATTTTAAAGGGACAAAAAGGAGCTTATTAGCCCATCTAGGATGTCCCTTCCAGCTCCCAACTATAACCACTTCTTACTACTCATGTATTCATCCTATCTTTTCTTGAACTCTGTTATATTTTCTACCTCCACCACCCTTGAAGGCAGCTCAGTCCAAAAGCCATCCACCCTGTTTGAAAAGTAATACTGTCTAAACTGCAGACGGTTCCTACGCTACCAAAATTTGAATTTATGATCCCTTGTCCTATTGTTTTCACTGCTAAGCACAAAAAAGTTTGATGGATCTATATTATCAATACCATTAATAATCTTAAACATCTCAACCAATTACCCTCTGACCCTTCTCCTTTCCAGAGAAAATAATTTCATTGATTTTAGTCTCTCCTCATAAGACTATCCCACCATCCCAGGTATCATCCAAGTGGCTCTTCTCTAAACCTTCTCCAATTCAGTGTCCTTCTTGAGGAAGAGAGCCCAAAACTGTACACAGTACTCTAAATGAGGCCTTACAAGTGATCTATACAGTGAAATAATAACATCTCTTTTCTTGTATTCAAAATTTCTGTAGTTGCTATCCAAAATCCTATTAGCTCTATTGCTAGCTACAATACACAGTTTAGATAACTTACGTGATTTTTCAGTCACAACGCCAAGGTCTTTTTTCAACCACAGTATTTAATGTATTCCCATTTAGATTGTAACAATAATTTGAATTGTGAAAACCTACATGCATCACCTTACATTTTGGGTAGTTAAACATCATCTGCCATATACTGGCCCAATGCATCAAATGATCTAAGTCTCCTTGTAAGGCTGCAGCATCTTTGATACAGTTAGCCATCCCAAATATCTTAATGTCATCTGCAAACTTCAAAATTTGGTTAGTCGTTCCAGAGTCAATATCATAAATATAAATCACAAACAAA